AAAAAAAATTAACACAATCATGGTCAGACCCTTGACAGAGACAAGGCTGGTTTGCTGTAAGGGGCTCAATGGTAAATCTATTTGTGTAGATTTTAAGTGATAGCAGAAAAGTAGTTGCTGGCTTTTGCCCCTACAAACTGGCAGCATTCTTGAATCTTGACTACCTTTTTCGAGTAATTTATATATAAAAAATAATAAAAAATCAAGTGGACAAAAAAGAAAAAAGAAAAAAAAGGGAATGGAAGAAAATAGAAAGCACGTATTCATTAAATACGTTTTCAGTACAAATTCATTTGTAAAACGTATTTAGTGAATACGTTTCTTAATTTTTTTTTACAAAGGAAAACGTATTTTGAAAATACGTTTTTCAATAAAAAACGTATTCACTAAATACGTGCTTTTTATTTTGTTCCACTTGAAAATGTTTGTGTATTTTTTTGTCCAGCACTTTGTTTTTTTTTTTTAATTTTCTGGTAAAAAAATCTACCTTTTTCTGTACTAGCCTTTTTTTTTTCTTATTCTTTTTATCTGGTTTTTATGGAGTTATCGGTATTTTTATGGAGTTATCGGATGGCTCGACTTATAGAGTCATTCATACTTATTCATAAATAGTGTATTGACACATGTCCTATAACAAATACACATTGAACGTGTGTCAATAAACTAAGTAGTGATGACTCCATAAAAAATCATTCAATGACTCCATAGAATTTTTTTCTTTCTTTCTATTATGAACTAGCCTAATAGGTCCCATTTGTAGAGTCTTGGAATAAACTTTAGATCAAAATCTAGTATGTATGTTTAAAATTTTTTTTTTTTGCTCAAATTTAACTTAATTTTAATTTAATTTTATTAATCTCAATATTATTAATATAATTGAATAATATCGCTTAATCATTCTTACACATTATATCAATTTTAATTCACTATTCATCCACTCACATAATTTTAATTATCTATCACTTCACATCATCTTTCTTCTGTTTTATATAAAATTAATTTTAACAATTTTATTTTAAACATTGTTTTAATATAAATTCAAAATTCTATTGACAACTAGTCATATTATATTTTTTTTTAAAAAAAATTAACAATAGTTAACTAAAAAGATTTATTTTGAGTTAGATATATTTGTATCCAAACTTATGCTTCTCATGATATTGTAGCTTGACATCAAAGCTAAAATTAAGTCAAGCTTTGAGTAGTTGGCCAAATTTATTACCATTTTGAATAAATTTAGCAGTCACAATCATTGAACTTAAATCATTTTAGCTTCTTCATCAACCTGGCTACCCACAGCACTGATAATGTTGTAGGCTTGTTGGCCAACTCCAATTTAATGCATTTATTAATAATTTTTATGTTATTTTAGAATTATTTTTTTTGAAGGTTTGTCTGCTATGTGTTTGACAAAATGCCTGTTCCAAAATTTTGAACAGAGAAGCTTATCGGCAAAGGTGGGCATGCTGAGGTGTACAAAGGCCTCTTGCCGGACGGCCAAATTGTGGCCGTGAAGAAGATAACAAAGGAACAGAAGAACGACGAGGACAGGGTGGGTGACTTTTTAGCTGAACTCGGCATTATAGCTCACATTGACCACCTAAACACCGCCAAGTTGATCGGCTTTAGTGCCGACAGTGGATTGCACCTCGTTCTACAGTTCGCTCCCTACGGGAGCCTAGCCACTGTTCTACATGGTGATTTTACTATTATTATTTATTTTTTAACTTGGGATCAATTTACTTTGCGCATTTTTCTGCAAATTTTCTGATTACTGGTGATCCGGGCTGTTTCCCTCTCGACGACCGAAAGTACGGTCCAGATTATACGTTTAAGATAGTTCGAAATAATGCAGATGATTACTGATGGATTAGTAATTTATTTACACAATTATTTATGCACCGTGTGTTTCAGTATCTGAAGAGAGCATAGCATGGAAATTACGATATAAGGTGGCAACTGGTGTTGCTGAGGGATTGCAGTATCTGCATTCTGATTGCCAAAGGCGAATAATTCACAGAGACATAACTGCCTCAAATATATTACTGTCTGAAAATTATGTACCTCAGGTTTTTTTTCCATGGTTTCTAATTATAATTTGAAAGGAAAAGAAAAAAATATTCCATCTTAAGTTTCCAGTTTTATTAATGCAGATATCTGACTTCGGGTTAGCAAAATGGCTACCTGAGAAATGGCTTCACCATGTTGTATCTCCAATTGAAGGAACTTTTGGGTACAATGGCTTCAGTTTTCTTTGATTATTTATTATTTATTGATAAGTTTGTGCGTCTAAGTATGTCGTGCGAAAAAAAACAGGTATATGGCTCCAGAATATTTCATGCACGGGATAGTACACGAGAAGACAGATGTATTTGCTTTCGGAGTCCTATTGCTTGAGCTCATCACAGGTCGTAGGGCGGTTGATTCCAGTAGGCAAAGCCTTGTGTTATGGGTATGTTCTCATTTAGGGTCGACAAATTGAGTTGATTCACAAATAAATGACTTTAGATAGAATAATAGAATAATGGTTGGTGATTTTGAGGGAGTTTTTTTGCATAAGCTTCCACTTTTAGATAGATTATAGAGACAATAAGGCATAATAAAGTTGTGATGTGAAAATTTGATGGTCAATTACAGGCAAAACCACATCTCGAGCAAAACAATGTGAAAGAAATGGCGGATCCTCGTCTAGGTGAAGATTACGACATTATAGAAATGAAAAGGGCCATGTTTACGGCTTCAATATGCATACATCACTTGCCCAACTTGCGGCCCAACATGACACGGGTACTAAAACAATGCATTTTTCTTTTTATCTTCTTAAGTTAACATTCCATTTAAGGATGTCTTTCAAGAAAAAAATTAAAACCTGAATTTTTTACACCGATCCGTGTTCTCTCGGTTTTAGGTTGTTCAGCTGTTGAGAGGTGAAAATGAAGCAGTCGACGTAAAGCAAAAATCGATGGGGATGAGAGCTTTGGTATGGGAATCGTGCGACTTGGAGGACTATACTTCTACCACGTATTTGAAGGACTTAAATCGTCATATGGAACTTGTAATGGAGTAAACATTTGTCTCTGAAAATCAAGATATTTTCTTTTTCTTTTTCTTTTATTCTCTTTGGGTCGACTTGGTTAAACAGTTGATGATAGACTTGCTAATTGCTATGTATGATTCAGCTTGGACAATCGTCGCGTTCTTTTTCTTCTATGTGTTTATTCATCTGGGATAATGCTATAGGGCAGTTCAGAAAAGAACCATGCTCTGTCAATAGAGAATATATTAACAAAAAATGTACTAACTTCTATACTTGTGATGTACTGGTTGCTTTCAGTGAAAATTGACTCTCAAAGTAATGTCTCACTCACTCGAAAGAGAGATTGACTTGGACTCTGATTTATCGTGATGCTATAAGTAGATATGGCCGCGGTTCTGGCCCGAATTGGTGAACTGGCCCAGCCTGGCCCGTTCAGTAGATTCTGAACCGACTCAGACCATTGACCACGGGTTGTGAACTTGCCCAATGTTTGGTTCGGGCAGGTTCAAGTTTGACAATTTTGGCCGGGTTGGGTCGGGCCTGAATCCAACGACAAATTTTTAAAATTGACAATTGGATGTATATTACCATTGAGATCCAACGGTTATGATCTAATTGAACCGTTTGAACCAGCAGTTCGTTCAATTAAATAAAAAAAATATATTTTTTGTACTATAAATAATATCGTTTACCCCTTTTTACACCAAACTATCATCATCTTCTTCTATAATCTTCTCGATACTCTCATTTCTTCTATAATTGCCACGTTTATTTTTTTTATAAACTCTATTTAACCTACAAAAATGTGGAGTTCTCGCGGAGGACGACCACGAAAGCGAAAAAAGTACCATCTACGAGGGGTCATCCATTGCCGATGTCGGTGGTATACCCGAAAGTTTCGAGCCTACATAATGAAATATCCCAAGATCGCACACACTTTTAAAACTATAGAAGATATCCCTGAGTTCTTCGAGTACCCGAATGGCGCTCCTACTGAAGGTAAACAGACAACTGTCGGGCTCGGGAGTGGGGTGGACAATTGACATCCGATATGTTCACAAGGCATTTTACGAAGGTGCTCGATATAAGTAAGGGTGATAATCATTTATATGTATTTGCAATCTCCTCTACCCTACAACTAGAAGAGGTACGGTTTCAGAACTGGTAGTAGGTACTTAACCATGCAACGACACGCACTGACCTATCATCCAGTGAAAAGGGCATTCACTCGAGCCAAACGCAATTCTCGATAAGTAACACTGCATCTAGAGCTGAAATTGCCGAAATAGGTTATTCTTCATTTTTATTTAAATATTTCAATGCAAAACAAAGACGTCATCTAGCTAAATTTATTTTTGTTTCATCACTTCCTTTTAGCTTTGCCGAATATTATGAAAATTTTTCTTAAATGGATTTAAGCGTTTCGGGTTCCAGGTACTACTCTTACCCGCGATATTCGAAATATTGTGATTTGTGGGTGAGAAAAAATCAATTTTGGTGTAAACATTTGAAAATTCAAATCAAAAAATTTCTATTTGTTGTGATATTTGGTCAGAATTTAAAACATTACAAAAACGTTTAATTACTTAAGCAGAACTGATAACTCTCACATTTCTCATAAATATC